CCTCACGCCAGTGGAAGCTGTCGAGGAGGAGAGCAAGGGTGGTTGGGTTCCCCCGTCCTCAATGTGGATTAGCGATCCATCTGTGTACGAGAAAATGCATGAAGTTGCCGAGTAAGCCGGGCACCCCCTTCTCAAGGACAAGAAAAAGATCCGCCTCACATGGACACGGTACTGATCGTCTTGCAGTGTGATCATAGCCACAGGATTGATTGTTCTAGTTGATGACTGCATCCGACAGCGATGGCACTCGAAGCATCATACGGACCCCAGTCAACCGGTTAAATCCTCCTTCACAAAAAGCATTGAGTTGATGGCGCCTATGCGACTTATTGAAGGAGTGTTTCACCGGCGGGGATCCGCCTGATTCTAATGGATAGAGACGACGCGCGAAGGAAGTTGGGTCAGTCCGTTGCCACGGCGGTCTGACTCGTAGTTAGCGAGCACTTCTATCGTGACGTTGACGTGCAGTGGCGCGAAGCCATCTACCAAAATTTTCACCTTGTTGATCAATCTGGATAATGAGGTCTAGTTTTTTGACGGCCATTTTTAGGCTCGATTCCCTTGCATGTCCATGTATTTGTTCGCTGGCGACGACGATCCCAGCCGGACCTGCTTGTTAGTTGTTGTTGTCTCTCAAATGTGTAACGGGAACTCTGCGGCGTCTAGTTATCGCTGCGTTGACACTTGTCGGTCGACTCTGGGTCGGATGACCTCCTTTCATTTCTTTTTTTGGAAGTACGATCAACGTGTATATGATTGCATGGTTATTTGTTGGGATAGCGCTTCCATAGTCTGTCTGAATTGTGATAGGGAAATGACGGGTGCATAGATCTTTGATTATTTTGTGTTGAACCAAGTCAGTAGCTACGTACAGGAACCATGGTTCATGGTAGCCCGTCTGCCTCACTAGCGACCCCCTGGTGGGCCAGTCCAGCGCTTAAGATCAAGACGAAGCGCGAATGATTTGCTTAGAACGAGTGGAATGAGGAGCCAGACGAAAAAGGGGGAAGGAGGGGAGGAAAGAGGAAGAAAATCATGGGTTTGATGTTCCGAAGCTCACCATCTTCTCCTTACTATCTAACTACCTTTACAATGTAAGGTACCTTGGACTGGTAAGGTGCTTAACTTCTACGGAAGGCTGGAATAACTGGACCAGACTTCATCCCGCAACTCAAAGGGAGTCGTTTTTTCTTTGTTTCTTTTTCCCATTTGCCCGTTCCTTGCCTTGCCTCTATTGGTTAAAATGTTCGAGATGAAGGTAACAGCCGAAAGCTCTTCCAGCTATGGCCAGATACCGAATAAGCTTGTCCTGCGGGCGATGCGGGGCAGATCGAGGCTCGTCAATGTCCCTTTTGATTCCATCGAATCAAACGGTTTCATGGGCCTTCAGTGAGCTCGTGTGGAAACGATTCAACTTTCCCCGGTGCTATGATAGATGATGGCACATAGCGTTTGATGCAGGTGCTCGACAACTCTGTGGTCCGCGACACTTTCCCGTCCACATCTCTTCGTCCTCTAGCAATCGCTGTCATTTAATGTTGTTCTGTAGATGACGGCGATGAACAACATGAAGACGCACGTATGTATGCCCAACACAGTGCCAGAAGAAAGCGACGAATCATGATGATTCATTTTCGGCAGACGGTTTGGGTCAACTTTGAGCCTAATAGATGTCTCTCTTCGCTGGCAAAGCTGTGTTCCATGCAAAATGTTTGCTTTAACCGCACGAGCTGGGTGTTTCATCTGGTGTTGCCTTTTTGGGTTGAGGTTCCTGCCGGGATATCTCCAGCACCCTTGTCTTCTTCTGCTTGTTGTCGCTTCTTCCCTGTCTGCAACCCCATGTCCCCATGGCATCTGTTCATGCAGAGCGGCCTGGTTTTTGACCATTCTTTTTCAGGGCTGACAGGAACGATGTGTTTTAAAAGTCCTCTGTCCAGATTCATAATTGAATCATTGATGAGCTGGCATTGTGGTCTCTGGGCCCGCTTTCGATCCTTACGGGGGCCTTACTGGCTGGTGTGAGCAAATCCTGACTTCAATTCGTCGCTTCTTCTCCTATGGGGCCCCTCTCCGCTTTTGGGCAACTAGACCACACCCCTCCACTATCTGGTCATTCCAGAAGGAGGGGCTTCCATCTTCTTGTCCTTGGAGAAGCATCCATGAGGCGTCTAGATCCTTCATACCCGATAAGAAGCAATGTTTGCTGGAAACAACAGAAGGAAAGGGGGGAGAGGATGTGTCGAGGCAAGAGAAGGAGACGAGACGTCTGTTGTTCAAGGCTTCAGATTTGTGAACTGGCTTCCTTGTACCACAAGCAGTTCCTTTTGCCTCTGCGCCATCCGATCCTTGCCATCAAATGGATCTGGTTCTCGGTGGAGCTCCATCGCACCTTTTTCTTGGTAATTGGCGTTTCTTCAGGGTGCATTCTCAGTCGGCGTGCGCCGGGCCGTTCCAGCATTGCAGCCTCAAAATGATCCGCATGTTCTCCATGCAACTGGCGGCCTTTTGACTGGAGGACCAGGGAGGGGGAGAATTTGCTGGCGCTGTAGCTTGTCCCCAGCGACATGCATAAGCCCGAGTGTTAGGTTTCGTGGTTAGGCTCCGTGTTTGTCACGCCAAAACTGTCTTGCTTGCACAGGGAAATAAAAAAAAAACGATTTGGGGTCAAGCATGGCCCACAGTTTATATGACCCCCCGCTTCCCATGTCCATCAGGGCTATTTGAGTGGGAAAGAGAAAATTCAAAAGAGGTATTATTGTCTTATCAAAAGCGATACAAAACTCTTGGTTCGATTGATTCTGCTGCTTGAGGGTTTTCCCTTATTTATTCATCTTCGCCTTCCAGAAACCGTCTGTATTCCAGTTGGCACTTGCTTGCCTCTTGGGCAAAAGTTCTGCGCAGGGGTCGTTGGCTCTGATATTTTCAAATCCTTTTTACCCTTTAATCTCCTTCAATTTCAGCCCTCATTATTGTGGCTGGCAAGGGACCACGATACCGCGAATAATCATATCATATTTTGGACAAGAAAACCACTCCAAAATGACCTCGACTCAAGGAAATGCTGGTCGGAAGGCTGAATGGATAGAGAAACTTGAGAGTATGCCCCACTTGAACTACAACTTCCTTGAAGGAATCGTCAATGTGCTGTATGGTTTATCATTCGCGGGACTAAATCCAGACTGTATCTTCCTGCAGAGCATTGCAAAACTACAGGCCTTGGAACCCCGGTGTACACATTGTGCTCCGATCGTCGAGGTAACTGACCCTTCGCTCCTCTCCATTCTTTTTTCATTTTTCGTTCCTTTCTCCTTTTCCTTTCACAGTCGTGATTGAATATTCTTTCTTTGCGTTGCATCTTCTCCGTCCATTCCTCTTTCTGGAGATCTACCCTTGGGTGAACTGAATGGTGCCCAGTGTGTGTCGCGGCATCAGGATTGTGGAGTAACTTTTTCCCTTCACCGACTTTTAGACCTGACAGCTTGTTGTACCATGTGCTAACAGCTTTATGTCTTCAAACAGGAGGTCGGACAGCTTGGAGCTGCAACGTGATGGTACAAGGTCGAGCATATGCCGCACGGTTCTGGTACGATGGCAACTTCACAATTAACGCCAAACATGACGCTGCAGAGGTAGCTCTCACGCTCCTGACCTACCAACAGCAACCTCAAGCTGGCTCCGAAGCTCTTCCCGGAAAGGTGTGGCCGTAGCAGGCGAGCAAATACGGGAATATGGTTATGATAGGGTGGGATTCAATGGGTTCGATACGGCTGAGAACTACTTTCATTTCTCTGTCTGCTTTGCTTGGGCCGGACCGATTACTCGCCTTCCTCCCCTCCTCTTTTTTCCTTTTTTCCTTTGTGGCCCCTATGACCGCGTACGACGACTTGATGCCCGACTCTTCGGGTTCCGCAGACGTTATGTACAACATTCTCGGCTGTCGACATTCTTCTTTGTGCAATATGCTGCAACAAGCACTGGAACACATCGATGACTACGATGCTGCAGTGGGTGGACAATCGGAAAACGAACATTTCCCGGTTGCCGCTCGCCGCAACTTCTTCTTTCTACAGGACTACAGAACACCAGCCCCTGCCACATTTTACTCGGCTCTTTTGGTTTTACACTCTCTATTACAAGCGGCCCGGTTATGCTTTTCTGTTCGACTTATCCACCTTCTGTACAATTCTCCTATATTTTCTTTCAGTTTCGCAAGGCACTCGCACTACTGTGACCTTGCCACGATATTATGACGACAGAACTGTGACGAACAATCCCGATACTCGAATCTTGTTTCATTGCGTGCCTTTTGGATTCTCGCTGTCAAAATATTTGACCCTTTCGGTGATTCCAGCGCCTGTGTATGTTTTTTGTGACTGTCATACCTAGACAGGTCCTGCCATTTGCTCCTTGTGTACGCGGGTCTTTGGATCCCACCGGCACCAAATGGGTCAGGGAGTACATTTCTTGCTCGTGCGAGTCGACCATCTAGGATATGGTCTCGTTTCTTTGCCACGTGCCAGTTCCGAGCCATCAAAGTAGACAGTAGGGCTGCCTTTTTCTGCTTTTCTCACCCACTTCCTGTTCCCGGGTTGCCCCACCCTTCTTGAACTTTCAACGTCCATTGGGGGCTTGGGGACTCTTCTTAGAAGGGCTATTTTTATGCACTAATAGTGCGGGTTCGTTGTCCAGCTGGAAATCACGGTGTTAAATAAAGTACGGTTACAGTGTTCCGTATCCTTGGTTGCACCATGTCACATCTTGAGCTTAACCTTAAATTTTCCGGCTGAGCGTTCGGCGTTCACGTGCTGACCGGATAAATCGATTCCGATAGCGCGCCAACTGGTCATGGCCAGCCTCGGCTACAGCGAACACTATGGGTTTATTTTTTTCTCTTCGACTTCGCGTGGTGTTCGCTTCATTGCAAGGTCGCACATGATATTTTCGCCAAAACTGTCTAGAAAAGAAAACGGGAAAGTAAGATCAACTTGAACGCGGAACCATCAATAAGCAAGTCTTCTTCCGCTTGCTCTGTCTCTACGGTTCAACCACCCGTAATAGCATCGGAGCATGATGCACCCCGCACAAACAAACAGGAGTAACCCAGCATTGGTCCAGTGGCCTGTCGGGTAACCCCTCTTCGCTTCGTTGGCTTTGTAAATCCACACGCCAACAATTTGGCCCGGGGCGCCGAAGGACACGTTCAGGGCTATTGCTAGTCCGGTGCCTGCCGTGGAGCGGAGGTTGGAGGAGAGCCAGCCCAGGAGCGGGGGAATGCAGGCGAAGGCGCCGCTGGTAGCGACGATGAGGCAGCCGTAGCGGTGCTGATTCACTTATGTTAGTGGATTTCTTGTAGGGTCTGCGGAGGGAAGGGGGGAAGGTACTAAGTAAGCGTCTGCTGGGAGGACTGCGGATGCTAGGAAGCCCATGGCGCCGATGAAGGAGAAGAGGGCGGAATGGAGGCCACGGCTGATGGTAGATTGTTAGTGTGCGTTGTGAGGCATGGTGCTGAGGCGAGGACTTGTACCTGTTGAAATGATCTGCGGACCAGGCTGCGGCGGTTGTCACGACATAGGCTACGGCCCATGGGGGCACTGTCATGAGCTGTGCGCGTAGGTTGGTATACCCGAGACCGCTGGTGATTGTGGGCGTAAAGAGAGAAAGACTGGAAAACGGGGCGGATATGCCGAAGTAGACCTGTTGAGAAGCATTAGTTGTGGGAACTGCAGTGGGCTGAGAACGGGTAACAGGCGACAGACGGCATAGTGTGCGTAGAGACGCCAATCTGTTAACACGGCTTTGGCATCCTCCCAAGTCATCGCTTTGGCTTCTCCCTTGGAGCCTTCGGTTCGCAGTCGTTGAGCGGCGAGGTCTCGCTCTTCTTGTGTGAGCCAATGAGCTGATTCGGGGTAATCGGGAAGGAAGAACCAGACTAGAACGGCTGAAGCGCACGAGGGCGCTCCCTCGATGATGAATAGCCATCGCCATGCTGACAGTCCATGGGCCTGATTCATGTGGCCCACGCCGTATGCGACTGCACCGCCAAAGGCGCCGGCTAAGGTAGCGGATGCGAGGATCAAGGCCACGCGCATGGAGCGCTCGGAGTGTCGATACCAGAAGGTCAGGTAGTAGACCAGGCCAGGGAAGAGTCCCGCTTCCATTACTAACGGGTGTCAGTCATTCCGTAGATTTAATCCTTGGTTTTGGGAGGGGGTATACCTCCTAGCAGGAAACGCAGGCCGGTGACCTGAGCGAAGTTATGGGTTCCTCCCAAGCCCATTGTGCACGCGCCCCATGACAGCATCAGAAACGCAATCCACCTCTAGATTTCATAAGTTTCTGATTTCGAACGCAAGATTCTCATGGCATACACTCGGCCTAAGCTTCTTCAAAAAGTAGTTTGAAGGGACTTCGAACAGCGCATAAGCAATGAGGAACACCATAAGCGCAATCCTAGCACATGTCAGTATCTACGCTTTAGCATCAACTATCCGGACAAAACCTACGTGTATTGATACGAGGTCATCTTAGTCTCAGTCAGGAGGTCATTGTGCGTATCTTGGTTGAGGATTTTTGCATTTCCTATGCCGAGCATGATGAGGACTGGCCGAGCAAGAGTTGATCCCATGCTTACCAATGTTAGATCTATCTAGATAGCAGAGAAGATAGATCGCTGCACATAGAGGAACAATGCGCAAGTCTTGTTTCCAGACAAGTGCTTTCTCCTGAGGACTGCGGTATGATGCATCAAACCGCTGCTCGTCGATGTCCTTGTAAACGATCAGCAATGACAGCTACAACTCGGATTCTTACTCCACTCTGCATACATCAGACGCAATTTCAACATCGCGAGCATCTTCCACGCTGGGGTGGGTTTTCGGCTCGCTCATTTTCGCGGCGGTAGACAACTAAAGAACCTCGGGTGAAAATGAACAAGCTTTTGAGAAGCAATTCTTCGTTTGACCATATTTATAGGCTTGGGTCTGTCAGCACCGGTTGGAGCCCCCCGCACAAGTAAGCGGGCTCCGCTGACTGGGGTAACCCCGTTCTGAAGAAAATGTGATTCCACGGTGTCGGTGAACCTCCGACGGTCATGACCGAAGATGGTTAACCACCCTTTTAGGCACGTAGACTGTAGTACAGTGATTGGTTGCTGTCATAACAGAAAAAGGCATTAGATCGGCAGATCCGTATCGGCATTGCCGTTGACAGAACGGACATTATTGGAGTCACGAAAGGAAGATGTAAGTCGTATCCAGCCCAGCACTTGCAACTGAACTTGGAAGCGATGTGACTTTTCTGTTGGGACGCGACTGGTACGCTCGCAAATGTGGATTTGACCGTCCCTACAGCGCAAGGGATCACGATGAAGACTGGTACTGGCTTGATTCGCTTGAAGTGTGTATTACTTGGGCCACGTCAGGCATCCTTCTTCAAAACTATGTGAGATACACATGTTAGATCACTAAAGGTCACTCTCAGTCGCTTTGTCTATCAGTTTTCTCACTTTCTGCTTTATAAGGATAATGTGGATCTTGTCACTTGCACAGGGTCACCAGTTGGCGCCGGAGGGCTTGACATCTACATAGTGCGGTAGACAATCTTGGACAAGCATAGCTTTCGGGTTGGCGCATCATGAAGAAAATTCCAATTTTTTCCCGGCAATTCTTCTTCTTTGGACTCTGGCTGAGAAAAAGTAATATAATCCCCATGTATCTTTTCCAGTAGATAGATATGTGAGAATAAGAACAATGGCCAATCTGATTGGTCATGCGAAAAGCATCGAAGTTTGCCCAGTTGGGTTAGCGCAAATCTTTATCTATCGATAATGATTGAATCGTGATTTTGTTACATTTCTCTGCTGTTGTGCGTCAATTGTCTACCCTTCTTTTCTCAATGAAATGTCCTGCATATAATTCAAGCATTTATTTTCCCCATAGCATTTTAAGAAGTATAAACAGTCGTGCTGTGTCAAAATTATACGCCAATCCAGCTCTGCGCACCTCCCAGAACACAAACATGGCGACAGAAGCTACCCCTCCGCGCAGAAAGATGCCATCTGCATTGACTTTCGATCTGCATAAAAAGTGCTCAGTAAGTTCTCCTTACCCGTTAACTTTTCAGGTATACTCGATTTTGATCTAATCAGGAACCAAACGTAGACAACCAAAGCGCGCGCTAGCACCCTCCATCTCCCTCATGGCTCCGTTCCGCTTCCCATCTTTATGCCCGTTGCGACACAGGCGTCCCTCAAGGGACTCACGTATGACCAGCTGAAGCAGACAGGCTGCATGCTGTGCTTGAATAATACATACCATCTGGGCCTGAAACCGGGGCAGGAGGTTCTAGACCAAGTGGGCGGGGCGCATAAGCTGCAAGGATGGGATCGGAATATCCTGACAGATAGCGGCGGGTGAGCTATATCTGTCTTTTTCTCAGCCTGACACTGACACCTGCAATGTGTAGTTTTCAGATGGTTTCTCTGCTGAAGCTCGCAAAGGTCACCGAGGAAGGTGTCCGATTTCTCAGTCCCCACGATGGAACCCCGATGTGTGTCCCTGCCGATTCGAAGTCTCGACGAACCCCACTGACCAGGGTCAATCTAGGCTACTCACACCAGAACATTCGATTTCGTTGCAGAACTCGATCGGCTCGGATATCATCATGCAGCTAGACGACGTCATTGCAACTACCTCTCCCGATCATGCCAGAATTCAGGAGGCTATGGAACGGTCCGTCCGGTGGCTCGACCGCTGTATTGATGCGCACAAGTATCCCGAGAGACAGAACCTTTTCTGTATCATTCAGGGCGGTCTAGACCTAGAGCTACGGAAGCAGTGCTGCGCTGAGATGGTTGCGCGAGATACACCGGGTATTGCCATCGGAGGTCTATCAGGTGGTGAAGCAAAGGAGGAGTTTTGCAAAGTGTATGTGCTGAGGTACATGCTGCAAGGGCTACGTCGGCTGACAGTTATAGGGTGGATACGTGCACTGGACTCCTTCCAGAGCACAAGCCCAGATACGTGATGGGAGTGGTAAGTATTAGCTTCCCCCCTCCGGAGGGCAGTCTCTTTTTTATTGACGCTGCTCAGGGTTATCCGGAAGATCTCGTTGTAGCAGTTGCACTCGGTGCGGACATGTTTGATTGTGTGTGGCCAACGAGAACGGCGGTAAGGACAACCCCGGCAAATCGTTTGAACGCAAGTTGTGACTGACAATTGGTAGCGATTCGGAAATGCCGTGGTTCCTTCCGGCTCCCTGAACCTACGCCATAAGTCGTTTGCCGAGGACTTCCGACCTGTACAGGAAGGGTGCAGCTGTTCTTGTTGCCGGCCCAAAGAACAAGGTGGCTTGGGGATTACGCGAGCGTATATCCACCACCTGGCTGCCAAAGAGACGGTTGGAGCTCATCTGTGAGACTTCCCTTCACATCCGAGGGTCGCTAGTGCTAAGTTCTCAACAGCCTCACCATTCATAATGTTCACTACTTGCTTTCCCTAATGGGATCCGCTCGCCAAGCCATTTTGGAGGATCGATATCCAGCATTTCTGCGCGAGTTTTTCGACAATCTGTATGGGGATAAAGCGAAATTCCCGGAGTGGGCTGTCACTGCGCTGCGTGGTGTTGGCGTTGATCTGCTCGCAGACTAGCATGCATGCTGATAGATCATCTTTATCTACATCACATAATCTTAAGACGGGTGTCAAGCATCATTCGATGCCTGGTACAACTGCCGGACTCTTAAAGTAATATTGCCAAATCGGGAACAGGATGTTATTGTAGGCTGATGATTTGCTTATCAGCACGTGATCTCGCGCGTCGCGTTCACGCGTTACTCAAAAAGTCCTCCGCAAGCAATCTCAACGACGAAGCATCTCAATCACCATGACAATTCAACCTAGACTGCAAGCAAGCAATATGTCACCGGTAGCTGTGACGCCGCAAGATACCCCCAGCCAATCTAGCACACCGACTCCTCCTCACAACCCCGCGCACGAGGAACATCAGTACCTCAACCTCATCCGCACCATCCTCGCCGAAGGCGAGCATCGTCCCGACCGCACAGGCACCGGCACTCGCTCGATCTTCGCACCACCACAGCTGCGCTTCTCGCTCTCCAAGCCTGGCGCTACACCATCCTCGGACCCGATCCCCGTCCTCCCCCTCCTCACCACCAAACGCGTTTTCCTGCGCGCCGTCATCGCCGAGCTCCTCTGGTTCATCTCCGGATGCACGTCTTCCATCCCCCTCTCAGAAGCAGGCATCAAAATATGGGACGGTAACGGGAGCCGCGAGTTCCTGGACAAAGTCGGGCTCGGACACCGCGAGGTCGGCGATCTAGGCCCCGTGTATGGGTTCCAGTGGCGGCATTTCGGGGCGGAGTACGTCGACGCCAAGACGGATTATACAGGCCAAGGCGTCGACCAGCTCGCGGAGGTCGTGCGCAAGCTGAAAGAAACGCCCTTTGACCGGCGCATTATCATGAGTGCGTGGAACCCGGCTGACCTGAAGAAGATGGCTCTCCCGCCTTGTCATATGTTTGCGCAGTTCTATGTCTCGTATCCGAATGGGCTGGACCAGAAGGGGAGTCTGTCGTGTCTGCTGTACCAGCGATCGTGCGATATGGGGCTTGGGGTGCCGTTCAACATCGCGTCGTATGCGCTGCTGACGCATATCCTGGCCCATGCGACGGATCTGAACCCGGGCACCCTGATTCATACCATGGGTGATGCGCATGTGTATCTGGACCATGTCGACGCGCTGAATGAGCAGCTCAAGCGGGAGCCGACTGAGTTCCCGGAACTGCGCATCAAGCGTGATGATCGTGGTAGTGGAGTTGTGGATGGTTGGAAGGAGGAGGAGTTTGAGGTCGTTGGGTACCAGCCTCACAAGGCTATCAAGATGAACATGAGCGTTTAACCTCGTACAGGTTTTTACTACATTGTTTGATACCAGTATCTCTTATATAGCTTAGATTCTTGATCTGAATAGAAGATACAGTTGTGCATGACATTAAGGACGACTCTAACACGCGCGAGTTCAGGTATATATGTGAAAGGCATCCAAAACGCTCTTGGTGTATCATATGCTAAGTATGCAGTTCCAGATGGCAGGGAATCGAGAGGAAAAAGAAAAAAAAACGCAGCGGATCACTCCCTCACGACTTCCCCAGAACAACTCCCGCCCCTCTCAACAAGACAATAGTATGACCCTGCTTCACCTTCCCACCCCCAATCGTCTCCGAAAACTCCAGAAACTCCCCCGAATCCACATGGAAGATCCGCAACCGGTCCTCCTCCCCAGCCCGATTATTCACGTTCTCAATCCGCAACCTCCGCGCCGCATCATCCAGCACCCGACCAACCTTCCACCTCGAATCGAACCAAAATTCCCCCGAGGGCGGCTCCGCCTTTTGCGCCTGCCCATCCGCCGTCCCAACCACGTGCAGATACAGCCGCTTGTCAGCCGGGACACTAGCATCGCCCTTGGCTGCCTTCTTCAGCGCATTCAGCTCCGAGATCCGCGCCGCCGCGCTATTGGCCTTGGGCTTCGGCGCCAGCGCCTGCCCCTTGTCTTTGCCCCATGTACGCACCC